ATCTTATTTGTCAGCAGGTACAACCTTATTACCAGCAGGTACAATATTATTTGTCAGCATGTACAACCTTATTACCAGCAGTTACAATCTTATTTGTCAGCAGGTACAACCTTGTTACCAGCAGTTACAATCTTATTTGTCAGCAGGTACAACCTGATTCCTGCATTTTCTTTACCGAAAACTAACATGCAGCAGTTGTATAACTGCTATACTAAATTCAGGCAACATACTTATTTCTCCAGAGTGAACAGACTCTCTGCAGTTACAACAAAAGTTGCTCGGCGTGCAAACGGGTCTGCCACTTCTGATCGAGGCCTTCGTACGGGCAACTAACTTTTCCGGGGCGTCCAGTCCAATTGCATATCCGCTCAAGTCAAAATTGAAATCGCAGCTCAAGTATATTAAACTCGGAGCCTCTACATTTGCATAGCATCGGCAGCACCGCAGCCTCCACTCGACCCGCCCTTGTGGCCATGTCATAACTGTTGTCCTTCAGTCTCAGCTTCATCTGTAGACGTTCCATGCATAGGACAGGCCGTCAATGATGCAGTCCTGGGGCTGTACTATCATAACTCGAATAAGTACTCGTAGCGGTCTAAGTACAAGTAGCTATCAATTTCTCGTTTGTGATTGGTGGGTCTAGCTTACAAAGCCGCCAGTGATTGGCTGACGGAGTTACGAACTCGTCACTATTTTTGCTTGACTCAAGAAAATTTCTGAATATTTTAAGATCAGTTGCATATAAACATCTTAAAATGAAAATAATAGTCTAGAAATTTAAATAGGTCATTTGGCTACATTCCCAACTACATATTATACCAATTGATTCAATTTATTATTAATAAAATGACTGGCAGTAACGTCAGACACAACTGATGAGCTGCTCTTCAATGTAAAAGAAAACTTCAATATTCAGGGGAATTTTTTTTATATGTTACGAATGCGCTGATTTGCTATTAAAAACACATCAATGTTTACAAATTAATTTATTATTTGAAAGCTTGGAAATTTGACCCGGAAAATGAGCTGTATCGCGATGTTTTTTCCGAAATTTTTCTAAATAATCTCGATTTTAAGCGGATCTAGATATTTTACGCGAAAAATGAATCAATTTGTTTGCTATGGTTCCGATTGATAAACCTCCATAATCATGACTCATTTCTATCCTTTATTTGTTTGACTCCAATAAAAGTTCAGCCATGCATGTAGTTAATTTCCACCTAGATTTCGGAAACAACCATGTGTCTCACAATTTCATGGATTCTCGGATTAAATACGGATCTGCCTTGACAGACGAGAAATGCTTGGCAATTACGTACCTCCGCGTCATCTGCGTACGCGCAGCATTCCCAGTCACTGTTTCATCTGCGGCATTTGGTACAAATTGGGGCAACTGATTTTCGTCTCACTTCCACCAAAGTTATGAAAGGCTCGGCAATCTTTAAACAAAGTTTTGCCGCTTCGATTTCTTCTGAGCTCATGGCAATGCATTCACAAACACGATTTGGATAAATTAGGCTTTAAAGGCAAAATGCAATAACGGACTTTAATTAATTAATTTCATATTTGTATAATTCAAAAAATTTCTTCATGTGAATTATGTTTAAACGTGTCACACTGAGAGAAATGTGCGGGTTCTGCTATATTTATCAATGCGTTTGAGTAACAAATCCCACGATCTGAACTTGATTCTTGGCTCTGGAAGAATGGTGGTGACAAAATTATCAATACATACTTTTTATCGTCGTTTGCCTGTTCAGGTATGATAAATAATTCATATTACCAGTACTTGAATTAAGCATGTCAAGGGTATTCTTAAAATAAGAATTTTCGGCGCACTAAATAATAACTTCATTGAAATTTATGAGTTTCATTTAATTGAACGCTATAAAAATTCAGTATCGCATTAAAGCTCTTTTAAAACAGGACAAAATTTCAAATTCTTTTGATGTAAAACATGCCTCATATATAAAAATCTTTTCCTGTCGCACGATTGTTTTAGAACATCAAGCCTTTTCCTCGCGCTTCCTCTGTTTTGGTTCGCATTTCTCCTTCTAGCGACAATCAAACCCCGCGACGCAATACAATTAGGTTTTATAGGGCTCCTCTAAAGGACAAGAATCTCACAATTTGCTTCCTTCGAACACTTACAATTGATCTCTGGCGGCAACCAGTCGCTTCCTTGAAGCTCCCGCCTTGCGGGTCGCCCTAAACAATTGACTTGTTTACGCTCACTGCAATGGCGACCTCATATCTGCTTGGTATACTCGAGGTAGTTGCGGACGAGGCAGACACTCGTCCGCAACTACCAAGACGGTAAAATATTTTTAAATTCATATATTTAACCGCATTTTCTGGATATATTACGTACGATAAATCCCCACTGAGATCCTCGAGTAAGCCATAAACTCAGTTAAGTTTATGCGAAGATTATGTCGACTCTGTTCGAATTTCAACTTTCGATCATTAAGCTCAGTATAAAGATTTTGCTCTGCTGATAATTCTTTTAAAGAGTGATGTAGGAGTTGCGAAAAATTTGTGTAGGACTGGCAATCAAGTGTAGGACTGGCAACTGCATATTGATGAATGTTTCGAGAAAATAGGAAATATTTTGAATATCCTCCTTGCTGACAAATTGTCTCGTAATTCTATGTAAACTTTGGGTCGAGCGCTGTCTTCCACGCAATTGATTAATTACCTTTGTATACACTAGACAACTGACGTTGAACCAACGTTGAAATAAACGTTGTTTCATTGAATCGATATTATTTAAACGTCATTTACCTGGCAAAATTAAACATAACATAACACGAATCCCACCCCCGACACACTCTGTTTCAAACTATCGTCAGCATGAAAAGATCCGGTCAAATGACAGGATATTTGATCTTCTGTGAAGTATATTAAACTCGGGCGGGTCGAAAAGGAAAAGAATCGGCGACAGGCCACATCAGGCCTACACTTCAGCGCCGAGATCACTATGTTATGTTATGTTAAGTCCAGCAGCTATCTCAATCAATCGTCAGCTATGGAAAGATCGGGTTTCAAAGGCCGGATCCCTTGTGAATCAAGTCACGAAAAGTTCAAGAATCGGCAACAGGCCATAAATGGGCCTATTTCTTCAACGCCGACACTTCTATTCTATTCTATTCTATCATTGATTGCCTTACTTGCACCCGTTTTGTAATTCGTTTATTTCGGAGTCTCTAATCTCTGTAGTTGTCAATGTTCAGGAAAAGCGCCTGTACATGACTGAGTTGTGGTGAGATCATTGGTGTCGGTCTGCTTACCATAGAGAGACCTTGACATTCCTCGATTTCGATCGGAATTATGTGGGGTTTTTGTTTGTGTGTGGCTGTATTGGTGTAAATATTATTATTAATCAATTTAACAAAAAGCAAATAATTTGTATTGTTCATTTATTAACGAGTTCGGCAGCGCACCATATGTGGAGTGATTGCTTCATCACCGATATCGCCGTGATTTGTTCCGAAATCATTTCACTGCAGAAATTCTGTTGATCTTCCTGTGGACTTGAAATGGACCTGAAAGTCTTATAGGTCTCAAACAAAGGTTGGCTAGAATTGAGCTTTCTTCGACTAAATTATCACCTGAAAAGAGAAGACATGCAAACATTAACACCAGCATGTTCCTAACACTATACACTGAAATTTATAGACCAATGTCACATCAGGACTAAATTTTCACTCAGCTTGAATTTTGAAAATTAGATACGAAATTTTGTAAAACGCTTTGGGTGACAGCCTTGCGCGGTTGATAAGAAATTTTTCTTGAAAAAAGTATATGATGGCCCCAAAGCCTCCGTAATAGCGAAATTTTTGGTCATCGATGTTGTGTGGAAACCTCTTTTTCGTCTGTTTTGATTCGCTGTGCTAGAGTTGCATCATCTCTTGTTTGTTGTTATCCTCCCTCACTTCCACTCTCTCCCTCCCACTCTCTCCCTCCCTCTCTCTCCCTCCCTCTCTCTCCCTCCCTCTCTCCTTCCCTCTCTGTTATGTTATGTTATGTTATGTTATGTTATGTTATATTATGTTATGTTATGTTATGTTATGTTATGTTATGTTATGTTATGTTATGTTATGTTATGTATACACCCTGCATGTTACTGCAGTTCGCGGTCACGGCATGGCTGTTCTATCGCCGCCTCATCGCTCGCCGCCCACCTCAGGCGACACTTGAACGGTCGACCTCAGCCTCCTGAAGGAACTTCCGCGTACTTCAGCACAAAGGCGCCGTCCTCGAATACATTGTTTGTTTATGTAATAACGAGTATAACGTATCCAATATAAGCAGGAAATAGTCTATTTTGCATTTCCTCTTATAAATAAAGAAATTTGAGTAAAGAAAATTTGCATATTATTATATAAACGTAATGCATAGATGATTTTAGTCATTTATTTCAAAATATGTGTATTACAGTTTATAATGCATATTACAGTACACGCGTGCATAAAAATATTTATTTGAAGCCAGCGTTGTTGTGTTGCACGCTTACGTGTTGATTTCTGTGCCCGTTGAATACGTGACTCTTTTTTTGTCTGATCAATTATGGGGTTGCAAATAATTGCTTTAATGAACATTTGAGGCATGTTTGGCTGACCAATAAGAAAACTGTGTAGTTACTGGTATTTTTTAGCGAACAGAAATTGCCCCGTTTACCCTTTGATTATAGAAAGTTTTTATTGCTTGAAGCATCGCTAATTTCTAATCACTTAGTGGAATCGAATCTGCTGCAAACGGTATAATTTATTGCATCGTGATTCATTAGAAACTTTATGCAAATAGCAGGAATACATCGGTGAACTTCTGCATTTCGTATGCTTGCGGCCAAGACACTGGCCATAGACGAACAAGCCTCAAGATTTATAACATAATTTAGTTTTGAAATTGGAAGTCGAAAACTCCACCTGAATTTTTGGGCTCTCACCCGCCTAACGTGTTCACGTGGAATAAAACTTGGCATATTTTTCCATAGCTTATATTGCAATTTTTGCCCTTGATAAATCTATTAGAGAGGAAAGTAAATAATAAAATTTATAAGTCACATTCATTTCTTTCGGGAAAACATTGTTACTATAGGTTTCCATCAAAATCTACTGAGCCATAACTTCACCCGTCATCAGTAATACAGAAGGTTCCGAATATATATAATCATTATAATGAATATACATGATAATTATCGTTAGCTACTTCGTCATACTTCTGCACTAAGATACTTCACAATTGACTATGTACATTCGTTCTGTAATTCTAGAAAAAGAAGATAAAAGACTAAAAGCTAGCTCAAACTTCCGTTTTTATTTTTCATCAATTAACTCAAACTTTTTTCAAATTTCTTAGGTTTTATTAATGTAGTTTGTTTATAGCGAAATTTCAATCCTGATTCACGGCCGGTTAAAGTTGAAGTTGAAGTGACTTAAAAATTTATTTCCAAACGAAGAACACCCGCTAAAGCTATAAAGTAACACAGATAACAAGCACATTAGCTACAGGTAACAACGATAGGCCATATAACCAGTGTGAACAGAAATTGAGCGACTCTGTCCTAGCCATTTTGACTGATCATCACGTAAAGAGGATCGTCTTGATGAAATTTATAAAATAATTTTCTTATCAGAGCATAATTATTGTATTTAAAGATATATACTGCAATTTTTCTTTGCGAATTATCTGCGATAAGAAATAGACACCAAATTATGAGTGAATATGAAAACAATTTTAAGTTGCGAATAAAAAAAATTCATAGAATTCCACTAATTGGTTTTTCTTGAATACAGCATTGAAGCATTCGAGTTCTTTGTCATAAAAACTCAATGGAAGAGCCGCTCGAGATCTACTAATTTATTGAAATAATTTCTGTTTCTGAGTCAATAAACGCAGGCTCCTTCTTCGAACGGAATAAGATTTTTGCATCGCCTCAGATAAATTTTCATAACTCTTCTTTTCAAATTTTGTCATCAATGGAGCATTGATCTGAGACAAAATTATTACACGTCCTCCACTCTCATATGATCAACTGTCGAGGTGGTTGCAAGGGAACTTCTACGACGTAATTGATGGTCGTTACGTTTCTCTGATATTTTAGCCCAAAATTTTGTTTATCCATCTCCGCAAATGAAATTAATAATAATCTCCGTAATTAATCTCAAAAAGTACATATTTTATATATTAAAAACCTTCGTATAGGTTTAAAAATATCCGCCCAAAAAATGTTCCTGTTTCAAATCCGTTTTTTAATCTTTCACGTGTAAACATTGTGTAGATTCTGTCAATTGTTTCATCAAGCAACAATACTGAGCTTTTCTACATTTGTTCGTTATAGGAGACGAAATATAAACAACGACGCATGTTGAATACATTGCCTGTTAATGGAAACTAGTTTCATCTTATAATAAACACAATCTGAATCGAAGAGTTATCCCAGCAGCAGCAACAATGCGGTCAAAGTAAAGATGTTGCTGATATCCATCTTATCTGCTCAAGAAAAAGGAGATAAGATAAGTTAAAACTTAATTCGAACATTTAGCTCCTAAACTTAGCAAGGTAGAAAAAATGCAGTCTTGAAATCAAAACCTAGCAATTAAGTTCAAAATGTAATACTTTATATGTGTGTCGCATATATGTCTATTCATGTCTTATAATTATCTTATAACATCAATTCGATAACATGAAGGTAATGAGTAACGTGTATGTTTTCAATCTAAAATATGCGCAGCTATTAGCTTGAACTTTTGTGACACATAACAGGATAGTTCAGTCCATCAACAGAATGAGCGAGACTCGTTGTTTTGTCAATGTAATATTTATTGTTGATGATACACAAATAATTGGGTCATATTGTCCAAATCACTGTGACACGTTTTCTCACTCATTGCATGAGTAGAGAGCGGACGTGGCACCGATACGCCCTTTTGCCGGACAGAACTGAGTCTGAATGACCACACTCGGGCGAAAAGTGCGTCACGATTAGGACAATGTCTCCCTCATTCCTCTGAGTATACATTTATCAACTCACCAGCGCCGTCTGTCATTAGCAGACCAGGGTCTGGGGGACTAGCCGCCCCCCTGTGCAGAGCCTCCTCGGTGTAGAGTCTGTGCAGAGCCGCGGTGCATTTGAGGCGCAGCTCGCCTGTGGGGAAGTGCCAGCGCTGGGCGGTGAAGTGCAGCCCCAGACGCGGGGACACGCCCCCTGAAGGGTCGTACTGGGGTCTGTAATTCACCAGGTATTCCTGGGGCGCCTGTAAATACGAGATATTTTAACAAGACTTTGTTTTCCGGCCGTAGTTATATTATATGCCCACAATACACTAACATCCCCTTAAACAAATTTCATGAAAACAGGCCTAAATGAGCATTTCTCTTAACTGTTGGCACTTAAGCTACATTAGTTTCATTGTGACAAGACGATCCTCGCTACTAGTGGGCAGTACCAGTACCATAAAGCCCTTTTTCCAATGACCGGTGCCACTAACCCACGTTACCAATGATCAACACCACTAACTCCTTCTCTACGCAGTGTCCTTCGAATCTACGTTAAACATAAGTTCGCACTTCGAAGGCCCGGTACACATAAATTTAATAGCAACCGAAAAATAATAATTAATCTCCGTTATGAGTGCCCCGTATCACCAAATCTCGCTACCAGTACTACAGCTTCCCCACTACCAGTTGCTAGCACCACCAGCAACCAAGTGAAATTTTACAGTCGCGGCAGCTTTGATTTGGATTACCAGAAGCTGGGCGACTCTAAATTTTGTTACCCCGTGTTTCAGCGTTTATTAGGCCGTAGGCCTGTCGCCGATTCTTAACATCGCAGAACATTCACAGCATGTTGCGGTCTCGAACTCGCAACTCACTGCTACAATTCTGCTGTGCTTAACCGCCCGGCCTCCTCGCCGATTCTGACCAGAAACTGGCGCACAGAGCCATGGGATCGAACCCGCGCCTCCCTGCGCCAATCCTGGTACAGTACTCTGAACTTTAACCACTGGGCCATCCCGCCTCGCTGGCAGCTTCTGATTTGGATTACCAGAAGCTGAGGCGACTCTAAATTTTGTTAGGGAAGTTACCTGCTGGTCGTTGATGTACCAGGTGAGCTCTGAGGCTGGCAGAGAGTGCGGTGCAGAGCAGTTCAGAGTAACGTTAGTACCAGGCTGGTAGGCGTCCTGACCTCCTGTCACTGTCAGAGGTCCTCGTGGAAGTTCTGCCAGCAGCGCACGGCAAGATTTTACTTGTCAAGTGATGTGAAAATCTCCTTGATGAAGATATTAAATAAAAAAATATAACTCAGTACTCACTGCAGTGAGTGACAGATAGCGCATTTTCTCGTCGACGAAAACTTGAGGCCACAGACGGACGGACAGACGGACAGACAGACAGGCGGACAGACAGGCAGACAGATAGACAGACGGACATGGCGAGCACAATAGTGCATTTTTTCCATAAATGAGAAAATGCGGTAAAAAGGGGTTGATTCTCCTCAAGGGCTTCTCGAATTAAAAAATTGTTTCAGGAAAACATTTTCAACGAAACAGGTTGAATGTTTTCAGACACTTCTGGAAGTGTAAAGCGTTTCATGTCAGCATTTTAAACGAGACAGGTTAACTAAGCGAAATAATTGCAAAATTATGCTTTCGACTTCGTAGGTTGTCAACCAGAACCATTAGAAACTATTACTATATTACATCAAAGCCAATAGTAAAATGAAAACAAACATAGCTAGCCTGCCTGTAGATACGAGTGGCATTGTCATTAGTTATGCTTCAGAAAATAAACGGTTGAGGTTACTTAGATGCAGTCGGTGTGTGCACGATGAGCTTCCTGCCATGATGGACTACATTTTTATTGGACTTGGATCTGCATGCATCTGAAAGTCTCAGAACCAAGCCATAAGCCTAGATTTGTTTTACTGTAAATTGAAGTTGGAAAGTGGAAACACGAGAAGTGACTCTTTGTGCTTACAGTGAACTTCTTCAAACATTTGAAATTCAATCAACGATACTTAAAAATCGAGTTTCACTGTCATCACTGGATTTAATATGTAAAGAGGTGAGGCATGCAATCGTTAAAATAGAAACAGAGACAACATGAGTGGATAAATAAATTTGGTATTTCGGAAGAGAATTATGAACTACGATTGAAAAGAGACCAGATAATAATCAACAGCAAATAACATTAAAAGAGAAAATTAAGGCGCCTGCGTGTATATGATCTACAAATAACAATAGAAGTGCAAATTAAAGAACCTGCTCGTGTACGATCCACAAATATTACCATAAATGAAAATAAATGCGCATAATTCTTTTATCTTGAACTTACGCACGACGCCCATCTCGCCAGACTTGACAAGCGTCCTGAAGAGCGGCGCCTCCGTGAGCACCTCGCACTTGTAGCGGCCCGCGGACTCCCGCCCTACGGACCGCAGCGTCACCTGCTGGGCTCCGCTCCGCTCTTTCTGGCCGGACGACAACAGTGGGACATGTGAGTCCGGTTACATTGCTTCGAAATATATTGTGTTTAATGTATTCAGAATTTTTCTTAGGTTCATTTTTTGTCGAAATTTCAAGCCGCTTAATTCATCATTGATGAAAAGAGTGAAAATGTTTCAATCTTCATAACTATGTTGATAGTACTCATATAATTTATAATTCATAAAAAATAAATTATCATTAAGAAAATTCATAGAAAAGAAACTATAAATGAAACTAAAGTCATAAATGCTCAAGTAAAGGCTCAAGTAAATGCACTTGTCAATAAAGCAAAAACTAAATCTATTGAAACTCACGTCGACTATGACACCAGGCAAGGGATAGTCTTGCTTCATACGAGGCTCAGCAGGCACATAGCGGTAGAACTCCCTGCCTTGCTTGTACCACTTCACCGAGTATAGCATGTCTTTCTCAACGTCGAACTGACACGTGAGCTGCACGTCTGCCCCCTCCACCACCCAGCGCGGCACTGTGAACCGCAGCCACTGCAACCCATGCGCTCCTGCGGGACAAGCAATAGCATTCAAATAGCGATGCTCGTTTAACACTATCATGGGTCATCCTGACTCACTTAGACCGGGCGAAATGGCGTATCAGTGCTGTGTATGCTCTTTCTACGTGATTTGGGTAAGGAAGTGTGTCAAAATTTGTACATTATGACTACTTAATTTTCGTGAGCAAGTGATAGGATGTCGCAGCACCACAAGCGACGATCAAAAAATTTCATATCCTGTATTGTACGAGCCCATGGATTAAGTTTCATGATTAAATCTCTTCTTAAAACCCTCCTATACTATACGAAACATTTGAAAGTACCCCGAAATATCAACATGACAATTCAGTTAACTGAAATCTGCTGAAATCGTTGTGCTGAGAGTTCGAAAGTACAAATAAAAAATTTATAATTTCATCTGATCGACGAACTCTGTAATAAATAGCTTGGCCTGACGCGTCTGTTTTGTTAATATTTCATAACACACCGCGACACTATGACTAATAGTAATATCTCACGCCTTTTTATCATTTCCAATCATGAGTTTTGTATTCAATATTCCAGAAATTCTTGCACAAGGCCCATTAGATTGCTAGTAAGATGAAACTTTACTTATGTTTCAGCGGCCGCACCACAAATTAGCTTATCAAGATAAAGCTCCTCGGCTCACGCCTCTGCGCCGCTCTTATCAGCACTATCGCACGAGAACTTTTGCTGTTGGCTGTATCTTACAGCATCAGTCTCAGTGCTGCGTCCTGGCAATCATGGTGTCTGGAGTGCTGCCAGCACACGTCCTAGACCGCACTACACTTAGAAAAATAATGGGTCATGTGTCCAAATAGTGACATACATTCATACCCACAGACAGTAATGGGCCACAGTACGAGCAGAGAATGGACGTGGCACTGATACAGGACAAATTAGTTCAGGATGACTCATACAAAGGCAAAAAGTGTGTCGATTTTTTAGCCAAGTCTTAATCATTTCTCTGAATGTACACTAGGAGGCGACACGCGTCATTTACGACGGACAGGTTCAACATTATCCGAGTTCAACGTAGGGCGTATAGTAGGAGTCAAGGTAGGGCGTATAGTCGGGGTCAACGTAGGGCGTATAGTCGGGGTCAACGTAGGGCGTATAGTCGGAGTCAACGTAGGGCGTATAGTCGGAGTCAACGTATGGCGTATAGTCGGAGTCAACGTAGGGCGTATAGTCGGAGCCAACGTAGGGCGTATAGTCGGAGTCAACGTAGAGCGTATAGTCGGAGTCAACGTAGAGCATATAATCGTGTTCCTTGTTAGCAAATACAGAATCCAATATGTCAGCCAATATTACTGCTTCTGCGAACTTGTTTAGTATTTGCCATAGGCTTGAAAAACTATAATAAAGCTTCAATTAAGCTTCCAGCAAACACCCAAGTCTTTTGTTCACTAAGCTTACCCGCATAAAGAGCTTTCATCAATGCTGCTCCGTCTCTTTAAATCCAATAAGATCTTATTTTAGTTTCATCGGAATTACATTCAATTTGAATTAAAACGGCGATGATGTAATATTCTTCCCAGTCACCCTTAGAACTAACGGTAGGATGGACGACGCAATGTGCATGTGGCGGCGTGTGAGGTCATGTGGCGACGCGTGGCGCCGTGTTGTGTGGTGTGGCCTAGTGTGGAGACTTCTGAGGTCCAGTGGCATGGCTGCGTGGCAGCGTGTGGCGTCGTGAGCGTGAGGCCGTGTGACGTTGCGTAGCATAGTGTGGCGTCGTGTGAGGTCGTGTGACGTGACGTGGCGCCGTGTGATGTTGCGTGGCGTCGTGTTGTGTGGGGTGACGTAGTGTGGCGTCGTGTGGCGTCAGGAGGCCTAGACGGGCTCAGGCGAGAGCTTTTGAGGCGGCAGCTCAGAAGCAACGAGTTTCATTCTCACGTCTGGCGTGAACTCGGCCAAAGATAAAATTTTATAAAGAGAAGTAATGAATAATTTCTATTCGTAATGTTTAGAATATAATGTGTCACCATGCGAGATTTAAATCAAGCAAATTCCATGTTACATTTTAGTGACAACAATTGTAACTAACTGACTGAGGGTAATTAGGAACTTTTTAATTAATGAAAGATCCACGATCTTGCAGATCGGTGACCTTTTATGCAATATTTTAAAAATCATCTAAATAACAACGGCCATAAAGAATGAATGCCAAGACAAGATATCAGTAAGAATGCTCGTGATTAAATTGGAGTGAATTGTTAATGAATTCGTGATTTTGTCCTGATTGAGCCAAGCTTGTACTTATTTCTTCCATCTATGACAAAAAAAAAACTTATCTCTCGTTCTCAAAATTTACATTCCAAAGAAATACTTAGCGTTGTTTGATATTACCACCGATACAGGGAGGTCACAGCAAGACCGCATGATGCATCAAATTTGAAATTAAACTGCCTATGGATTTCTGTCCGATGCAATGTACATAGCCGCATATAGCAACGCTAGCCACACCGAAGTGCATATCAAAGACAATACACAATAGTGTCATTTTTCGACAAAATTACGATGAATTAATTGGTCAAACGCAAAAAGCTATCCGTTTTTTCTCATAAATGTATTCTACAAATGTTTTTTACTGGCGTTTATGAGACCATCTTGATTGAATATATTTAATCAAGATTATTTAAACCGCCTGCATTTGTAGTATACATTCATGAGGAAAAACGGATAGCTTTTTGCGTTTGACCAATTAATTCATCATAATTTTGTCGAAAAATTACACTATTGTCTTTGATAGCAGAGAATGTAATTCTGACATAGTCTAATACGGCGTCAGATCCGAATGATTGCTTGTCGACCTGTTTTGTCACATCCTGTTTTACTATTTTCTGACACAAGTTAAACTAAAGAAGCTCGTCTATTTCATCTCGTAACACGACTACTATCTTATCCCGTATTATAACTACGATCTTATTTCGTGACGTGATTTGTATCGTATCTCGTATTTCAATTACTATCTAATTTCATTATCATATTGGCTATTATTATATTGCGTATCGCAGTAGGATTCAGTGTGACCTTCTTGACACTTACATAGTAAATGGCGCTATTTTATTAGTTGCAATAAATGCAGAATATGTACCGTGAACAGCAAAAAGTCCCTAGATAATCACGCTAAATGAATAACCTAAATGAAGTGTATTATAGTGAACTGCCTGTTCACCACGGGCTAAGACTGGAAATTGTCCCTCTGTTTCGTCATGTAAAATGTTTCTTGCTGCCGCGAAATGAATCCCGAATTTAAACTTTGGGTTTCCTGCCAACGTCCGTAGTTTCGGTTATTTATCCGCCACATTCGATTTGATTGTATTGTTACAATAAGTTTAAATCATAATGGGATCTAATATTAATCTAAAAATTGAGATTTGAACTGCCTAACAGCAGTCTGTAATTTATGAAGTTTTATTTCAGGCTTTGAGAGACCAAAATTTATCAGAAAAAGGTGGTTATGTTCAGTTCAGCTAACCCTTCCTTTGACATAATCCAATTAATGTGTATTTTAGTAGTCGCAATAAATGAACTATATCATATTCACCAAAACTGTCTCTTATTACATTTATTTGTATGCTTTTTTACTTTATTTGCTTTTTTATATACGAAATATTTTATATTTCAATTGTAGCTCTCGAAGAGTTCAAGAACCCAAATTGTAGAAGCGTTGTCATGTTGACACGTTAGAAGCTTTGTACTGTGGATATACCAAAGTTTTATTTTTGTCCATGACTCCGTATACCCGGATGATGATTTTTGATTTACCTTTCGTCAGACAGTTTAATTTTGCAACGTTATAATCGTTATAGTGTTGGTACGTTTGAACCTGTGCAGTGCGACAGGGATTAAATAAGTAATGGGAATTCTGGCATTACATTTTTATTAACATAATGAAAGCTTAGTTTTGAATGAAGAAATTTTTAAGCTGAGGAAGCAAAACTACCAAGCAAACATACTGCACGTTTTGATCCATATTATTGCTTCGCACTATTCGCTACCAGCAGGCTGGCTCCTCAATCATCAAAGCTAGCTTACAATTCATTGCAAGAAATTACTTTTTTGTGACTTGAACTTTCCATCAGCCTTCACTGATTACAATACCATCGTGTACGGAAGAACCAACACAGCAAGGCGATGAAGGCACTAAAACAAATTTTCAACTAGATACCCTACGTTTAAATACCGTTAAATAAACGTTCTTCGAACGAATTAAACACGTATTGACCGTTGTTTGACTGGAAGGGTACAACCTCGGCGCCAGGAAGGCGGTGGAGCAAAATGAAGGCTATACGAGGCGCCAATGCTTCGGCAGTTCCTTGGTTCACGTCTGTGTGTTTTGCAATGTCTTTGCAGGGTTTTATCAAGCAATGATAAGTAAGTTCAGTAAGATAGTAAAAAAATAATTAAGAAGAACGATATTTTTAATGATTATTGCCATCTACATGTTGATAAGTTGCGGTACTGTTAAAGGAGCCGAAATTTTGTTCCACTGAAAGAATAAATTCATAATGTAAAGGCCTAGAAAGCTTTCCGGAAATTTTTGCTCATGCTGAAGACATGTTCACAAAATTTTTCGAGTATCCTTGTGAGAAATTATCCACTAAAGAATTGCACAGCGCTCATAACTAATATTTTTCTTAAGTAAGGTCGATTTTCTATTTCCAGCACCAGAAAAGCCACGATTCGTTGGGTCGCCGAGGGTCAGGAATGAGGGCAACGAAGTGAGGGAACAAGCCTGCACTAGAGGGCCTCTTGTTGGGCTCAGTTAGCCTCATGAAAACCTCTCCAGCGCGCACAATGCCTGCTCCGTCCAGTCTAATAGGGCTTGTCGGATGCCTATGCATCGGAAAATATTCTGTCCTTCTATTGATGGCGAAATAAAATAAGTCAATACACTCGGAAAATAGATGATGTGCGTATTTACGTGGCACCCATGTATTTCTCTAGGAATCTTTGCCCCATGTTTATATTGGAAGAAAATATAATCTTATCAGGCTGACCAAGCTATGGCAATTTAATGAATATTATCTTATCAGGCTGTAATCATGAAACATTTGTGTTCGTAACATGAACGAACATTGTTTGAACTAACAATTAATACATATTATGATATTAATAATATTAAAATTTGTAATAATGTTTGAACTAATAAAAACAGGACAACAGCATGATCACATTTTCTTCGGAGACTTCACTTCAATATGTATGAAGTCAATTATAATCAATTTTAAAAGGTTCTGATCGAGAAATGTAAATTTTTTGTTGGCTTCAAGCTTTTTTAATTAAAAATTTTACACACTTGTTTTTCCGGTTAAGATATGTGTACGAAAAATCTATTTGAGGAAGATGCTCTGAAATTAGAAAAGATGAATCAATATGTCTGCATAAAATATGGACATGAAATCAACTTTCTTTGATCTTAAATTTTTGGTTAATTTGCTATTAGAGCAAACCTAGGGTTTCAGGTGAGTTTAGTTGTTAGACTTTAATTAATGATAACTCCCAAAATCCAATTTGTCATTTTGTAAATTCCATTTGAGTTAGGCCTTCAATAGTGACGAATAACTTATTATTTTGCTCCACAGTCTTAGGAACAATCTTTGTTCAATAATAATAAGAATGTTTCTTTAATAAAAATGTTCAAACAAAACTAATGCATTTCAATCGAACGATACCAAAATAAAACTATACCGAGATAAATAAATTTTACTAAAGAGATAAATTTCAATCAAAACGAGATAAATTTAAATTAACACGAGATAAATTTAAATTAATACCAAATAAATTTAAATTACTTGGTTTCAGACGAAGTCTGCCACTAATTAATGTTGTAAAATTATTGAAACATCTCTTTTCAAGATATTTTATATTATAATGTTTCAGCTATTCCTACCATGCAACTCAACATCAAATCAGTGATGTATTTTCCACTGAACCAATATTTCATTACCATGTCCTAGCTTCATTCTCATGTTCTTTTCGACCAGGTCACTCTTTCGGCAGCGATTAAAAACGGGTTATTTTCTACGTGGATGCAAACATGCACGCAGGATGCAGCCAAACCCCTATCCTTCATCGCATTTTATCAGCTGCAGGCGATGTTGACCGGCACACTCAGAACAATTTAGAAACTTTGTACAAATATCATTGCACTTCTATGGGCCATCCTCACTTAGTTTTGGTCGTATTGGTGCTAAATGAAGAAAGTGTGTCACTATTTAGACAATATTACCCATTAATTTTTTATGTGTGTATAATGAATATTATACACACATATATATACAAAATACTTCCCGCAACGTGTGGCTTGTGCCCACTTTTACCCTCGGTTCTACCCTCTCCATGGCTGCCATCTTTGGCTTGGGGAGATGACATTCCAGAGGGCTGCTGTGCTCTGTCTTTTCTGTTCCCCTCTCGCGTGCATCAATCGTTGCTGCGATCACAGCAACGCTATATTTTTCATAACCTGCCGTTATCTTGCGAATAATATTTGTTACTCCAATTATTCCATGATAATTTACTATGTATGCTATAATCTTTTGGGAAGCTACACAAAACATAACTTGTAAACCTGGAGACATTACACAGCTAGTACATCAAATTATAGGTACGTCAATCATCTTTGAACTTTTTCATTGCTTTTAAACCTACTGTGAAGAAGATTTCAAGAAGAGTTTCCAGAAGAGTCTTGTGAAATTATATAAAAAGAATTTATTTCAAAATAATATTAGATTTTATTACATTGACCTCTTGAAAAATTCGTTAAACTGCAGAATATTACTCTGAAGTCATACGATGCTTCAAAATTATATCAGGTTTATAGATTGATAACAAATCGACCCATTCCAAACAATTAAAGTCAGCCTGATCATTTGCAAGTACAAATTTCAATTCAAATTTCCGCGTAGCTGAGAGATAATCTGTCATCAACTAAATTTTTGTTATCCTCTTAACGGAAAAGACGCGGGACTTGCCACATATCACAATAATAACATGGAACTGTCATCAGTAATTTCCTTTGTCTGTGTTGCTGAAAAATCAATTGCATTCACTGGGCGCAAGCGTTTGGAACGCGCGTATGACACTCATTGTTTGTAGCGTAAAATGAGCGCTGCTGTCTACGCTTTGTTGTTATGCGTGACAGTGAGCAACGGCACGGCGGCGAGCAGTAGCGTGGCAGTGAGCAGGAGGCACGGCGGCGAGCAGTAGCATGGCAGCGCCGATGTCGGCTGCTCTAGAGTGCCACAAATGTCTCATATTGGACCAGAATCTCTGCGCTGTATTTCTGTTCCCCATCTCTCTGATGAACCTAATGTACTTCTAGTTATTGAGATAGTTAATACTCTAGACTTTCTGCTTCTGCGGCTGAATTGCATCCTGTTTCTGTGAACATACAGCGAGGTACTCGGAAAGTTTCATCCTACCATAAATTCCTTATCATTCTAGTCTTAGCACAGTCCTAATTTAATAGCTGTTAACTATCAATAAACTTATCTTCTCATTAAAAAATACCATGACGAAACATTGATGGTAAATTTTGAATTTCTTGCACCACGATTGATGAAAATTGTTCGAATAACAGTATATCTATTTTAATTATCTCAAATGAAGCTCCATTAATATTTCTGCCTTTATGTGTGACTTTTCATATACTAAAAGGAATCCTCGTGTTGTATTAAGTTTAATAGATTTTCTGTATGATCAGATATTTGCATGAGGTTTCCAGAGTAACACGTCGGTAAGCCGCCGAAGTTACGAGTGAAGCGCGTACGGCAGCTGCTGGATTTTTGCGAGCCAACGGCGGCGCAGACACAATTTTATGGAGCGGGGCTATAAATAATACAATGACGGGCAAGTTCGAAGAACACCGACGTAATATCTCCGTAAATATTCGTCAATATAAGGGGAAGTGTAGTTCATTTAATATAAATGCAAATAAGGTAAACACGCGGTCTACTTAACCGGCGAAGCCTCCGTGGCGCAGGAGTAGCAAATGTGCGCGCATTGTGGCAGAGACACGCACCAAATCCACGTATGATTTGTCGTACATCGTATCAGTGTAACAGGGGAGGTTTTTTCATAGTCATGCGAACAAAAAATTGATTTTCTGACATTTTTCGGCAAAGTGGAAAAAAGTTTACATACTTTGGCACTATTTTATAGTGTTATGGAGGTATAACTGTTTATTTACTGTAAAAACTGCTTCTGTAATGATATATGCGCTGGGTGGGATTTTTGCAGCTGATTCTAATTCCAAATGATGTATTTGTTTTTTTTTTTGCAAAAGTGCTAAGATGCCCCCATTCTCTTGGTCTCCAAAATTAAGGTTTTTTTCTTGCTCTGGCCCGATGGTAGCGCACTCAACACTATACTATATTATACTCCATCTACTCCATCTACATACTAGCTATACTGTCATGATATTTCTGTGGTAGCGCCCACATGTACCTAGTATTCCGTACTGTAGTTCCTACGAGTATGTTACTTCGCTATAGAACTAGTGACCATTGTTAGCATTGACTCGGCTCATGTACGTTCAAGACCTACAACTACTGTTCACCTTGTAAAGTATTCTGTAAATAGTTTCGTTATGTGTAAGACCTTCACATATGAATATATTCCTATTACGTTACCGTTTTCGTGTTTTATAGTAGTGTTATTTTGTTCCAGGATGTCGCGTTCTTTTTGAATAAAGCTCTTGTTGAGTTACCTCGGCTTTTGCTTATAACATATACTATGTTATACTATACTCTAATATAATATAATATAATATAATATAATATAATATAATATAATATTATAATATCATATAATATAATATAATATACTATTCTATACTATACTATACTATATTAAATTTCAGTCTTCAGATTTTCAGTGATGCCTAATGCTCCAAAACTTCTTCCCGTCAGTCGCTGTTGGGAAGTGAAGCTAAATTACACTCAATTAAATTATACTCAATTAGCAAAGTTTTTACAATAATCTCACCTCCGCGATGCAGTGTCAGTTGTAGCAGCAGCAGCAGATGAAGTTGTGATAACATACCACGGAAAAGCGGCCACTTTGTCATTCTTATGTTGGAATTACTTTTAAAGAAACAATTCAGTAACGCGGGTGAGCTCGCTCACTGCAGCAATACTTGCTTCTCATCTCTCCAAACATGCTCGTAACATGTACTCAAATACTCATAGCTCCTGCCTCGGCAACAGGTCAACGATTTATCATGATTTTTACCATATAGACTTCAATAACATTAATATTTTTGAACCATTTATATAAATATATATTATATTATATTGGGCACCTAAAGTTTGGAAACAGTTCTTAATTAAATGCTTACATTTAATATTCTATGTCAAATGTGCATTAACTACAGCTGTTCTCTTTTTCTGTAGTAACACATGTTGAGACCATGCCAAATTGCCGGGACTCATTGAAAACTCTACGGAACTTGATGTGCATATTTAATTTACTTTTTAACAAGTCCCATATTGGATATTGATGCTAAATTAGCTTCAAATCTCGTCATTTTTACACTTTTCTCTCTCTCTATAAGTGAAAGAGGAATATTTTTCCCATTGCCCCAGTTTTTTCACCGCTACAAAATTTATATCGAGTTTATAATACTAAAACCAATGGAATTTTTCGCCATGAGTTAGCAGGCCAAGTTCTTGTGCGCATCATTAAAAAAATAACAGCGTTTTTGTTGAAACTAGAATTATTAAGCATTTTCGAGCCTCTTATTTCATCGTAGATCAATTTTTAACATTTATTTGCCAAGAAAATCAGTTGGGAGCGAATATGTTATATGTTACAATTTTGTTTGCAATATTTTATACAAACTAAACAAAAAATGAGATCAGTACTCACTGAAGTGAGTGACAAAGAGTGCATTTTCTCGTCCGTCCGTGAAGTCACGGACAGACAAACGGACGGACGAACATGATGAGCACTATAGCGCCTTCTTTTCCATAAATGAGTAATGAGAAAATGCTCTAAAAATTAGTCATTTCTGTAATATTTTCTCATTCAGTGTCTCTATAGTGACTGGTTTCTTTTATACAGGGTGTTTCAGAATTAAGTATCCCTATTAATTTGTTAATAAGTAAAAAACTAAGAACGTTATGAAGTTGAAACTTGTTTTATTTAAAAGGAGAACATTTTCATGGTAATATTGTATCATAGTTACGTCATTATCCTGTATAGCTTGTCATTTAAAAGATATTATATTTAAAAACTAGGATACAATATTACCATAAAAATGTTCTTCTTTTAAATGAAACAAGTTTCAACTTCATAACGTTCTTAGTTTTTTTATTTATTAACAAATTAAAAGGGTTACTTAATTCTGAAACACCCTGTATTATCTGCGTTTTCAATTATTCATTGAGGTAGTAGCAATGAAATTCCATAAATTAATTATTATCAGCTGTCTGACTATTAAAATATCGAGACCTTGGACCTAAAATAATTTCAACCACTGCATAATTTCATTCGTGAATTGACTTCTCTAGCAATGTTTTACCAAGATGCAGCAACGAATAATAGGATGTAGAAATTCAGGTTCTTATTTTTAGTCATTAACAAATAAGCAATTTACTCTATTTATATGCTTTAGTGTTTTACTTTGCGTTTGAAATATTTTTTGGAATTGGTATTGCGATTAATCAGTATTTATATTGGTTTAGCAAAGTCGTAAATACTTTTGAAAAAGACATTGTAGAATTGCGAAGAAAATGTAATCAGTGGCAATATTGAAAATTGTTTGGCAAATTTATCAGCAGAACGTGTTCACGTCACATGCTGCCCAAAATCTCGGATATGTCACAAAAATTAAAATTAAAGTAATCAAAGTTAAAAATAATAATTTTTTGCAAAATTCGCATGTACAGTAATTACCATAAACCATATTACCTTGTATAAGCAAAATCAACTAAAAAGGGCGACATATTTCGTCATTATTAAATCTGTCACGTTGAAGTGCAATTAAATTAATTTCTACAGAGGTTATTCAAAAAATTGTGGCAATTATAAGTATATTAATGCTCGAAGGACAAAATGTGCAGCTCTTGGTAGCAAGATAGAGAATTTCTGTGGAATTTTTTATAGTTTCAAATTATTACTCTTGTTAGCAAGGTAAAAAATAGCTGATATTGTCTCTAAACTAGCTATAGTCCCAATGACTAGTGACTGACGCACGCTTCATGAAATGGTCTCACTTTTTACTGACATGTTCTTGAGAAACAGTTCATATGTTACACCTAAACTCTTTGCAAAATCTTGGTTCACTACTCATATTAAAAAAACTATCTTAAGTTTATCAGTGCATTCCCAAGGTAACTTGCTTTCTCCCTCTTCAGTGAATCCGTCAATATCTTATTTTTTATTGAAGAAAAGTGGTTACCCCGATGGCTCGACGAAAAGCTCCACATTTAGGAAAATCTCCACCTAATATACGATAGAAACAGCAACTGCAGTGCGCCAGGTCCTGGAGTGGCCGCGTGGCCGCTATGTTCCTTGCCTGCCGACGACGGCCCTCACCTCGCGGCGTCCGGGCGCTAACTGACCCGCCGGCGACGAGCAGGCTTAGGCCTGCCGGAGCTCCGCCCACCGCTGACCAGTGACCGGACAGTGCCGGCCTCTTGACCAGTCGTTTCTTGCAGCACCTGAGGGCTAATCAAGACATTTATTTATTGAACTTTGACCGTTGTGATGATCAAACTAGACAGGTGCCTCTTGACCACAGGACAGATGCCACCTCTTGACCAAATAGGACAGATGCCACCTCTTGACCAAACTGGACAGGTGCCACCGAATCAAGACATTTATTTAATGACCTTTGACCGCTGTGATGATCAAACTGGACAGGTGCCTCTGGACCACTCATGTCCTGCATGAGTGGTTTCTAGAACACCGTTTCCTCGATGATATTTGATCATTATGATGATAAAACTGGACAGGTAGCTTTTGATCACTCATTTCCTGCAGTACAAGAGTTGTGATATAGATGCCCTTTCCTTAAACAAGCATTGCTCGTTTCAAGGATCATAATAGACAAGACATTGTCTTTGAATTCATGTGGGGAAATTGTTCTTATAGAAGTACAGCTTATCCTTGGCTGAAGCAACGAACATTTGACCTTTAACCCAGGAACGTAACATTTGAATCACATGCACGGATGAACACACAAGCTATGATTTTTTAGTTATACTACTTTCTGAAAACCTATTGCGAAATGATTATAACGATTAAAGCAACTAAAAATAAGGTCATTTTAAAACATAGATTAACCTTCTTAAATATTCCGATTTTTTCAATTAAATAAATGAATGATTACTTTTTACCGATAATGTGTCTTTTCGAAAAATATCTTCGCGGTTTTCAAGGAATTTGAGCTGTTCTTTCATTTTTTGACGGAATACTCGCGAGAATTGTTAAAATTTATTGTCTAATTAACTCGATAATGTTTATACATACGCTTATCGTTTGTCTCGTGTTAAGAGACATTGTCGAAGCTCAATCGTGATTATTATTACCTTAACCTTACCTGAGTGAAGACTTCCTGTTCAAACCATATTGCTACTCTTGTTCAATCTTGCTTTTCTGTTACTTAATTTGAGTTTGTGCGAGTGTGTTTTCATTTTATTTTGTTCCATTTAATGCATGTTAGAACTTCTGTGTTCGCTCGTTTAAGATCTTCCTTAACCGGCTTTACGCCAGTGCTTGAAACCCGTTGGGTTATTGGCTCCTTGGAGCTTCGGTGTTAACCGATTATGTCACATGCCTAGTGCTGTGAATTAACTTGCATGCTTGTTGCGCTTAACTCTCTTTAAGTACGAGCGAACACTCCTATTACTGTTTTCACTATTTTCTTTCTTATAGCTCACTACATGTGAACTCTTGTCTAGGGTTCCTCAACTGACACAAATAGGTTAGTTATTTTGATAATCTTGAAACTGTGTTATCATTATTCTGAATTTACTTGAATCATACTAAAATCAATTGCGTTAAAACCTTGAATCCATTAATTTTAGGCTTAAGTTGGTTTTCTGTCTCATTCAGATAAGAATCCACCCAACAGCCTCTTGTTGGTCTTCAACTCTGCCGTTTCTATTTATTTGAGCTGAACTACTCCTTGCTTATTATGTTCTGTTGCCACCGGCAATATATGGTGAGAATTGGAGAGAGAGACATTCACCTAAAACAGTGACTCATTCTATTGAAAATAAATATTGTGTTCTAGACTTCTAACGTTCGAACTTGTACTTATGTGCGTACGTATTCTACTACAGAGCATGAGTCCTCATCGCGCTTCTCGTTACCTCCTGTGAACCAATTCTTTTTGCGGAACCACTTCAATAAAAGATTCAACGCTTTCTTTGGTCTCTAATTTTCAATTGTGCCAAAATTCAATAGAATTATAATCTCGTTGTCTTCAGTGATATACAAAGATTTTGCTTCTAACGGACTTTAACAAATTCATAGTCTTCCCTACTTCGCCTTACATTAAAGGAAGAATAAAATAATCCAGAGCGTCGATCAGCGGATTTAAGACGTCATTTGTTGACGAGATTTCAATAAAGAGGAGATTACGACAGAGCCTTTCGCTTCTGCCAGCTTGCGGAGGCCATCTGCACCTAAAAGAAGCCATCTGAGGCCATACTTTCAAAACTCGCTAAGTGAACGTAAGTACTTACGCTCTATTTTCTTGTCTATGATTGGTGGATTTTGCTTGAAAGACCGTCAATGATTGGCTGATGAACTTACGATCTCTNGCCTCCCTGTCATGTGAGGTGCCCGCCTGCCTCCCTGTCATGAGAGGTGCTCGCCTGCCTCCCTGTCATGTGAGATGCCCGCCTGCCTCCCTGTCATGTGAGGTGCCCGCCTGCCTCCCTGTCGTGTGAGGTGCCCTACGAAATTTAATTCGTTAAAATTCAACAACGAATAAAAGCTTTATTCGTAACAGAATGTCAGTCAAGTTATTAATGGCATCTGTTAACTGCTCAATTTGCAATTATCTTCTAAATTATAATATTCAATGTCACAACGACGGAAAATAAATCATGTTTTGAATTGACATGTTTTGATATCAACATGCTCCATAGGGAGTGGCTTCTCTAATAAACGTCTGTGTATATTATTTAATTTAAATAATCTGTCTAGTTCACCAATGTGTATATACTATTTAGTGTAAATATTTTATCGAGAGAAAGTTTTTCAGC